TCGATCCCCTGCCGACGAACACCTGATATCTATGGTCCGCCTACAAAATTTGGGCTACCGATATCCATGCTGAAAATTTCATACTTGTACCAAAAATACAGTGTGGAATCAAGCTGTAATAAAAAAATAAATAAAATAAAAATAGAGTATGCAAGGGTTAAAGTGAATTCTTTCAAGATTGCAGATACATCTTGCTGATGAGCACTAACAAGCACGAAACATACCTCCAGGGCTTCTTGATGATTGTCTACAACCACCTAACCACAATGACTAACCACCTGGCTTGGTGGCCACATTACAGATTCAGTCTATACCAAACCTAAGGACTAAACGCATGATACTGGTTACCTCCTAGTGACCAATCAGAGTAAGACTGAAATCTACTGTTTTCTGCACATGATAGCCGAGAAATAAAATCCTGTGAAATAATTGGGAAAAAGTCGTTTATATTGATTTCCTGACGAGGCATCAATAAATTCGTCTTAACTAGTATAATATTTCTGTTTTCATTTGCCAAGAGTGAGTCCGGTATACTGAATAAAAGCAATATTGGAATTGTCAGTGACAAAATCTTTATTCGAAACTACTTAAATAAATGTATGCTTCAACGACTTTACACTATTTTCCAATTCGATATAACCATTAATATGGTGTTCTAATTGTTTCAATTCGATATTTGAGTTTATGAATCATCTTTCTGTAAAGCTAATAAGCGCTCGATTACTTTTAGCTGTATATTTCACGGTTATGCCTATTCTATTCAAATGCATTTCAATGATTTTTTGATTGTTCTGGTTCTGTTTGAAGTATCTGAAGAGTTTAATGACATGATGGATACTTTTAAACCTGTTGTATAAACTTAGAAAAGAAGACTTTCAGCGAAGAGTCACTCTTTTCGGCGATGTCATTCTCAAGCTGTACAATCGCATAAATATAGTTAATTTTCTCAGCAAAAAAACTGAATATTTCAAAGATTTGTCATTAGAACTGTGAATTTTAGTTACCAAATTACGTAGTGTACAAAGCGTTAGTAGGAAAGAAACTAAAGTAAGATTAACTAAGCAGGTTGAATGACGTAATCCATTCGACGGTGTTGAGTAGAGCTCAGCTAAAATTAAAATTGAACAAAAGTCAAGTTAACAACAGTGGTAATAAGAGGTAGGTACTTAATAAGGGGTGGGGGAAAATATTATACAATTAAGAAACTAACAAGCAAGGAAAAGACGAAACAAAATTACGTATTTGGTGTTAAGATAGGTCAGGTCCACTATAGGTTCAATGACTGAACAAACTTCTTTTGTATGCAGAGTTCAGGTTTTAATATGTGAATCGCCACTGCTTTTGTGGTTTGAAGAATTTTGATTCGTACTCTTTTAGCAGGATTCCCAGGTATTCTGTAGGTGACTTAGAAGTTACTTTGTGGGTTTGCTTGGTGCTCCAATTCGATCAGGTGTTCCAGAATAGACCTTCGGGGGAACATTTTTCCTCCTTTACAAAACCATGATGGTAAGTTTTCAATGATACGTTTGGATAGCAAACGCCGGGTACGGTCGACATACCTAGCTCCACACGAGCAGATGAATTGGTAGACGCACATTGATGAGGCAAACAGTGGTAGCTTATCCTTTACTTTCGTGCGAATCATTGGTTTCGTAGAGAAGGTAAGTCGGAGTTCAGTCGCGAAGGTTTTCAGTGAGCGGGACAGGTGGTTTCTCAGTATTTCTGTTGATGAATCTCCATTTAATTATAGCTTAAGGTAGAGAAGTATTTTGGGACCAGAAAGTGTGGGCGGTTTTGGTGGTTAAGGTTTCATAGATCTTGCGATGAAACGTTCTGGGTAGGCGTTTTCTTGGAAGATTCTCTTCAGGGTATTTAACTCCTCTTCCATAGTATCAGGGCTGCGAATTCTGTGGCTCAGTGAGACGATCAGGTTTCGTTTTGTATATAGGAGCACTTAACTGTGAAAGTTAGTGATTTGTGCGTCCCACGTCGACATTCTGTAGATGGGTCTTTTTAGAGTTCTAACTTGCTCACGTTTTGTTAATTGGACGTCCAGAAAAAATATTTTTGTGTCGGATCCCTTCTCTAGTGTGAAGTGAATTGTTGGATGGTAGCTATTGAAGAAGTTCAAGATGTTATCCGAATTCTCCTTATTGTTAGATATAATGAAGGTGTTGTCCACGTATCTCTTGTAGAATCCTAAGTTGTTGATCATTTTCTTAAGATGCGTGTTTTCTAGTTATGACACGGTAAAGTTTGAGAACAACGGGCCAAGTTATGAGTTCAAAGGTATACCATATTTTTGTCGATATATTTCGTTATTGAAAGAGAACTGGAAGTTTAGGGTGCACTTTAATACGAATTCATCCAAATATTCAGTGGGTATACAAATGTTCATCTCCTTTGAGTCAATATTTTCACACATATAGCATATCGTTTCGGATATTGGTACCTGTGTAAACAATGATACCACATCTAGTGAGAACATGGTTTGACTAGAAACATTAACGTTATCAAGGGAATTGAAAAAATCGAAGAAATTTCGGAGTGAGTGGGAGGAAATCTGCCTTCTGACTGGTATTAGTATAAACTTAGCACAACATCACCAATATATACTTTAATAATTGGCTAGCGGTCGCGCTATGTCGTGAATTGGCAGAAGTTGGAATTCGAGGACCATTGGATCGGGTCCCAGTGGCTTAATGGTATACGAGCTCGCCTTGTAACCGGAAGGTTCTGGGTTCGAATCCCCTGTGGTGGGTGCGCACTGCTGAAGAGTCCCAAACTAGGACGAAACAGCTGTCCAGTACTCCCAGGTTTTCCAATGGTTCTCTAACTAATGTCAGCTCACGATGATGAAATCCTGAAACCAATCAAATCCCTACAAACCAACACTTGAATAATAATTTACTTTATTCCAAAAACAGTACTTATAATACAGAATGGAATTCTCAGCATTTGTCACAATATTGCATCTGATTTATTTAAAATATAAATAAAATTAAAAATTAAAACAAAAGTAAGCAGAGGAATTTGTCCACGTTTACGATATAAAGTCACAAATATTCGAAGCACGAATTGAGATCATTAAATATAATAATAACAGTGAGTTTGTTTCAAACAGTATTGTCGTTTCAGTTTGGAAATTTTAGCATGTTATTATACAGTATTGAATCTAATGTTCTGCTGATATGGTATAGTGAGGGGAAATACAAGATTAACAGTGGTAACACAGCTTAAACGATGTTCACACTTAGGAAAAATAAATAAATAAAAACAAAAAAAATTGAGAGGATTATAAGTATAAGAAACACAATAACAATAAAGTTTGGTACTGTAATGGTGGAAGAAATGGTTTATTTACTAGTGCAAAGAAGGTTAGTTAGTTCATGCCTGACACCATTTTCATCACATAAAGTACGTGCTAAATATGGTATAGTGGAATTTTTATACTAAGACGTACGTGCATAAATTTTCTGAAAAGACTTCTTGTTTTACCTGAGGAGACACAAGGTTGGAGCTGCGGGTAGAGTGGGTGCTCAGAGTCTGACAAAATTCCTTTAGCAAATTTGTTACATGACATCAAGTGCCTATCCGTGACAATGTCATCGACATGGCCCAATGGGATTCCATTCGCCTTACTGACAGTCTTTAGAGTTCTATGGAGTTTGACATAGAATAGAATATGGGTGAACAGTATAGAAGACTAGGTAAGGTGCACGAGTTGACAAACTGTAAAAGGAATGGTTGGGTTATGCCTAAGTGCCTTAACTTCTTGATGTTAAAAATCAGACGAAATATTCTTTTAGAAATCGCTAAGACATGGGAAGATCAGGAAAGGTTAGAAGAAAAAAATTAATCCAAGAAACATAACTTCAGACCTGATTTCTACATCACTATCATCAATTTTGCAACCAACCAACAGTTTTATTTAACTTTCGTTTGAATCGGAAACTTAAATTAACAGTCTGACATTTGGAAGAATTTAGTTTAAGGCCGTCACACGAAGACCATTTGCTAATTCCTGATAGAAAGCTGTTCATCTTACTTCAGTCTAGCTGGGAGTTAACAGACGTTGAAATAGTTAGATCATCGGCATACTTAACAAAGTTGATTTCATCAGAGTGAGGCAAGTCATGCAAGAAGAAAGAAAACAGAAAAGGAGAAAGGACAGCGCCTTGGGGGACACCAGTCTCAGTAAGCAAAGAAGTGGACGACTTTCCCTGACATACAGTGTACTACCTTCTTCCTGAGAAACACGAATGCAGCCACTTGTCAACCCAACAGTCAGTTTGAGTTTCAGCAAGCTTGTTTAACAAAATGTCCCTAAGTACTGAGTCGAAAGCAGATGTGTAATCTAGGAAGGTGCAACGAACAAATTTAGCCCCCTTGTCTAAGCTGGAGACAATGTTATGGTACAAGACTGCAACTGCATCTAAAGTACTTCTACTCTTTTTACAGGCGAATTGTTTGAGATCGTTAAAGGCTTTAAGTGAAGGTTGAAGATTAAGTAAGTATAACTTTTCCATAGCTTTTAGAAAAGGAGAGGTAACAGCAATAGGTGTAAATTTAAAACGTGTTCTAGTAGACGACTTGGGTATAGGTACAACTTTGATGCTCTTCCAAACAGCGGGCACGACATTTCTGGAAAAATATTCGTTAAATATGTCCATGAGGGGATAACACAGGATGTCTGCACTTTTTTTAAGAATAACACTGGGCAAACCGTCTGGGCTCAGGCTACAAGAAGGGTTCAGAGACTGAAGACATTTTTGAACATCATTTGTATTCAAACCAGGGAAGCAGGTTTCATTAACACTTGTAACACTTTATCTTATAGATTACTGTAACACCATGTGTATGTGTGTGCATAAACTCAGTAAATAATCACCTTTTTAGCCTGGTAACAATTTACATATACACAGTCAGAATGTTTAGAGTTCATTTCACTTGTCACTGTTTAGTCACTGTTTTTTCTCGTTTTAATTTTATTGATGAAGCCGGATCATTATGGAAAGAATTAATCAGTTCAACGAAGCACATGCAATGTTCACTGACTGGATTAATAAACTATCTTCAGCGAAATTTGTAAATGATATATTTGGTCCAACTGTTATTTATCCTTCCGGTGAAGATAATCACACCTGTGAACATGTTATACTTTCTGAATCAACTTATTCTATACAGGACAAAGATTTATTACAAGACTTGCAGAATGATGGTGAACTATTATTTTGTCAACTTCAATCGGCTGCTCTGGTACGTTTTTCATTTCTTGTTTGTATGTCTGTTTTAATTAATAGAATAACAATCGTATAAGCCTGTAGGGTACCGTTCATTGGTGCTTTCCAGGTTATTATTGATAATTTTACTCACCACAACTGTAATTCGGCTAAATGAACGATGTTAATTTGGTTCCGTTGTCAAATTCTACAGCTATATGTATTTTATTGTACCATACAAGTCTGTTAACCGTACCTTTAGTGTGATAGCTAAATGATTCTATGTATCTGTCTGGATTATGGTAGGTGAGGTATAGTTGAGTTGGTAAATCATTGTTTGTAGTTTGAAATCCTGCACCAGTAATCCGTAGCTTCAGGTTAGATCTGAAATTTTTTTTACTTTCTAGTTCTCTGTTGAGAGTATAAATTAATGGGTTTAATAGCAAATAATAAAGATTAAAATCATGAGTCACACGTTATGAGCGATACTCACCACTTACTGTTCTTAGATGACGTAACTTATTGCTTTGTTTAATATGTAAATTCATATGTTTTATTACCGACCTATTTAACTGACTGACCTTATAAGCAGTCCCCATATCTTTTACAACACTACATAACTGTATAGTTTTGCAGCGAAGTTACGAAAAGGATATTCTTTGCTGACCTATATCTTTTTGATTTATGCCAATGGTTATTTTTCATACGTTTTTTATCGACCATGGGTGTTTCCGTTCAGTCTCTTGTATTAGTTGACGTAATGTGGGCATTAATTGTAAGGTTATGCATAGTGTTAGATAAACAGAGGAATCTAGTCGGGGTTATAAAGTTCCATCTACTAAGATAACTAGGGCAAGTTTTTGGTGCAGTTATAACTACATATTGAAGTCAGCTCTAAAGATGGTGTCGAGAAAGACAATGAAAACTGTACAAAGAAAGAAGAAACATTGGTGCAGAATAATCTGGATCCATTTTATTTCGTTGGTTCTCATCAGCTGCGTACAACCTGAATTTTTCTTAATAAAAATAAAAAGTGTACAATTTTAACAAAACTTTGTCCATTAGCAAGCATACTGTCAGAGCATCATAGTAAAATAAGGCGTTGAGATTTACAGGGTGTCTAAAGTGTTACGACATACATATATATCTTGGTAGATAGAAGTTTTTTAGTAACTCTTTGTTTTCTAATTTTACTAGCTTATCTTTTCACTCCACCCCCTCCCTTTATTTTTCGCTTGATTCTCTTAAGAGATAATTTTTCTTGATCTTCTGAGTGCTGCTCACTGTATTACATCAACAACTTCTCATCTGGTCCCCAGCTCAATCAGGAAACTAAATCCGTATTTGAGGAAGAACTAGCTAAACACATATCTGTGTTCGACAGCTGTGCTCACCCTGAAGAAGCTTGGAAGAATATCCAGGCAGCCATAGATACAGCTGTAAAAGCTGTGAATAAGGTAAACCCAAAGGTGAGTAAAAACCACTGGATCTCCACCGCCTCATCCGAACTGATAGATGCTAGAAGACTTATTCCGGCGAGCTCCGAATTCAATGAGGAGCGAAAGCTGCACAAAAGGAAACTTACGAAAAGTCTCCGCAAGGACCGTGAACAGTGGTGGGTGACAAAAGCCAAAGAGATGGAGAAAGCTTCGAGGATAGGCAACACCAGGCAACTCTTTAGACTCATCAGGGAAACGGGTGGGAGAAGACAAATCATTAGTGAGACAATCTCGGAAAAAAATGGCACTATAATTAGCTCCAGGATAGACGACTGGATCGTTGGAAAGAGCATTATGAGGAGCAGTTTAATTTGCCCACAGCCACGCTCAACCTTCCGAGCATCCAACACCTCCCTGAATGGGATATAGACACAGGTCCTCCGTCCCTAACTGAGGTTACTAAAGCTGTCACCAATCTGAAACTAGGCAAAGCAGCGGGACCTGATGGAATGACGCCAGAGGTATTTAAGTACGGTGGAGACAGCTTACTGTCTGCATTAACTGAGGTACTAGGCAGCGTCTGGGAATCAGAAGAAGTCCCATCGGGTTGGTGTAAGTCACTGATTATCCCCATATACAAGAAGGGAGACAAGTCTTCCTGTGATAATCACAGAGGGATTAGCTTGACTAATATAGTATCTAAAGTCTTAGGCTCAATAATCATGCGTAGACTGAGTGGTGCTCGGGAAGCACAAACACGAGAGAGCCAGGCAGGCTTTAGACCAGGAAGAGGGTGTATTGATCATATCTTCACCCTCCGACAGATTCTAGAACATAGGCATTCCTACCGGCGTCCAACAGTCATTATATTTCTTGACCTAAAGGCAGCATTCGACTCTGTCGATCGAGAAGTTCTCTGGAGATGCTTGGCTGTAAAGGGAATTCCAAGAAAATATATTGCACTGATTAAGGCACTCTATTCGTACTCATACAGCCAGGTGAGGGCTTACGGCGAGCTGTCATCTGAACTGATGACGACCAGTGGTGTCCGTCAAGGATGCCCATTATCTCCTTTTCTATTCAACTTCATCATAGATGTGTTAATGGACTTAACCCTAGGTGACTTCAGCGACTCAGGGATTGACTTGCTACCAGGGAATAATCTCGTTGACTTGGAATATGCAGACGATATAGTCCTTCTAGGCGAAGACGCTGACGAAATGCAGAGTCTTCTAAACACCTTGAGCCGCAATCTACGAATGTTTGGCATGCGATTCGCTCCCGCCAAATGCAAGATGATGTTACAGGACTGGACTACATCGACGCCTAGTTTAAAAATAGGAAGTGAAGTGGTAGAGCACGTTGACCGCTTCACTTATTTGGGAAGTACCATCAGCCCCAACGGGCTGATCTCTGACGAAATCTCAGCACGAATACAGGGGGCTCGTTTCGCATTTGCCAGTTTACGCCGACTCTGGCGTAGACGAGATGTTCGACTATCGACCAAAGGGCGGGTGTACTGCTCATCAGTCCGCTCCGTCCTCCTTTATGGTTGTGAGACCTGGCCACTGAGAGTGGAAGACATGAAAAGACTAGCTGTCTTTGATCATAGGTGCCTGCGTTCTATTTCCCGTGTAAAGTGGCATAATAAGGTGAGCAACATTGAGGTTAGGCGTCGAGTTCTAGGTAAACAGGGGAAATCAATCGACGAAGTCGTGAAGTTACAAAGACTGAGATGGTTAGGACATGTGTTACGTATGCCAAGCCATCGCCTCCCTCGACGAGCAATGTTAGCGGATATAGGGTCAGGCTGGAAAAAAGCTAGCGGCGGTCAAACAAAAACTTGGCACCAGTCAATGAAATCCACAACAGTTGGTCTAAGCCACGTAGGAAGGTGTAGACTTCCAGGCTGGGGTCCTCGGGACGGTAAAAATCTATGGTTGGAAACAATTGGTGACATGGCTCAAAATCGTTCTCAGTGGCGCAGATGCATCCACTCCCTGTGACTTATGATCTCCAATGAAACTGTTTTGTTTTTCTTTATTACTCCTTTGTCTCACACCTCTGCTCACTGTTTCTATTATGCTTTTCTTGTACTTTCTTCTCTTGCTTCGCGTGCTACACGGAGTGTGGCGACTTGAACTTCCGCACATTTGTGCAAAGTTCTATGTCGAAAACAGACAGACAGACTTCTCATATGACCTCATATGTATTGAAATTGTAAAATTTTGATCTTCTCTTGTCTAATTGCGTAAATATTGCTAATTTTCGTTTGTTACCACCCAAACAACACAACTGTTAATAAATTTTTTTCAAGAAACCTCTCTACCAAGATATATATATATATATATATATATATGCCGTAACACTTTAGACACCCTGTAAATCTCAACGCCTTATTTTACTATGATGCTCTGACAGTTTGCTTGCTAATGGACAAAGTTTTGTTAAAATTGTACACCTTTTTATTTTTATTAAGAAAAATTCAGGTTGTACGTAGCTGATGAGAACCGACGAAATAAAATGGACCCAGATTATTCTGCACCAATGTTTCTTCTTTCTTTGTTCAAATTTATAAAAGGGAATCATTGTATGAAAACTGTACAGTTAGACGATCCAGTTCAGAGAACTCAAATACACTGAAATCATTCACTTGGACTAGGATATGTGTTATTCAATGATCAAATTCAGGTGAAATAGGATAAGGCTGGAAAAAATTTAGGGGTAGCCAGATAAAAACATGCCACTAATTCATGAAGTCTTTGTTGATTTGAGCCACTTAACGAGTTGCCGACTGATGTCCTCCAAGTGATAGGAATCAATAGGTTGTAACTTTCTTTGATGTGGCTCAAAATCGTTACCAGTACCGCAGACGTATTCAGTCGTCAGGATACGCTATGTTTTGGAGATCGCCACTAGCTTTATCTTTCCCTTGCACATTATTGTTCACTTTATTTTTACTGTTAATTATGATTTTTGAGAGCCTGGAAACACGAAGTGATGTGCTCTTGTGCAGTGTTTTACGTTGTAATTCAGTTCAGTTCACTAGAATGCGAGCCACATCTGATGAGCTCAATAGACTGCTCATTTAACAGGGCAGAATTAAGTGTGTATCTAAGCAAGTACCTGAGTCAATGAGCCACACTGCTGCACTTAAATATTATCACGATTAACCAATGTCTTTCACCGATCACCTTAGCATACAGCGAAAGTCAATGTTATCACTACAAAAACTAAAAAAAACAAATAGTAAAATTTGAACATTTTAAAAATGTCACGAAATTCATATGATCTGAGAAACTATTTGACGGACCCTGGAAACAAAATACGAAAATGAGATATCTCTGTTTTTCTAATTAGTAGTAGCCTTATAAAAAACGAATCATTCTAAATTTTCTCATCGATAGTTCCAACTTCGTTGAGCTGTTTCAGTTGCACAGAATCACTATCCATGTGATTTTTGTGAATAAATATCTCCACATTTTCTGTAATTTATTTCATATTCAACATATATTTACCTTTCTTACTCATTATTATTGATTTTCCCGTTGATTGATTGGACCGAAATGTTCAGTTTCTGTTGACATGTCGGCTCCTTGTGCAGATGTTTCGACGGTGTCTGGAGATTAACTTGAATTACCTTTCGGATATTGGCAAATATCATTCTGAAAACTGGTTATTAGCTAAACAGAGATTAAGGTCGATTGCACAGATAGTAATCGAAAGAAAGTGTAATATACTTTTGGATTCATGGATAACCATAGAAGTATTAAGCCGTTGAGTTGGCAGACTTCATCTTACATGTTTATTTTTGTAAAGGACTGGGTGAAATGTAAACAGGTTCATTAGTGGTTCTCCCTTCAATCTGTATATTCCTCTACTCATCCTTGCATGGTATTACTGTTTTCATTTCTTTGTTTTTACTTTGATTTCATTGGTTACATGGATAGATGAATTCGATTCATACGATTTCACAATAATACACTTTAGCGTTTCTTTATCCTCCTATTTTGTTTTTCCTTCTGCATTGCTAAAATGATCGAAAACAATTTCATTCATTGATTAGTATTCTCCCATGAGACCTTATTTCTTTGTTTACTTACCGATTATTGATTTAAGAAATCTAGATCTAGAAGAAAGATAAACAAACATGAGTAGATAGGTACTAAAAAGTGGGGGGGGGTGGGGGAAGAAAGGAGACTAAGCGAATACTGAAGTTTGAACTTAGTACTGTTTAATTGTTTGATCTGTCGACCTTGTTATTATTTTCTTTATTGTTTATTTTTCTACATATCCCTTTGTGTGGTATATACCTTGTGCTTCTTTCCCAATCAGTGCATACTTTCCATTTTGTAAACATGGAAAAAAAATTAACTTACTTAATCAGTGCTACTGGCACTGATAAAAAGTCTTGTCGAATTGTCTCTGTTTCTCACAAAGACAGGATGCAAGATTCCTTTCATTTAATTTTCGGACAGTTATATTGAGATTATAACAAAATACTACATCAATCCTGAGGGAAGTCAGTCGCGAGCCGAAAATTTCAGTGACAGTATCTTCAATTAAAGGTTTGCATAATTTTCAAGAGTTCGTTTGTAAGGATTAGCATTTGTTTATCGAATCTGACTACGGATTGTTATCAGTTAGAGAACCATTGGAAACTAGGGAGTGCTGGTCTACGAGCTTGCCTTGTAACCGGAAGGTCCTGGGTTCGAACCCAGGCAGTGGGTGAGTACTGCCGATGATCCCCAAGCTAGGATGAAACAGCTGTTCAGTACTCCCTGGTTTTCAATGGTTCTCTAACTGATATCAATTCGTGGTCAAACTGGATAATTTTGCTGCGAATCAACAAAAAGGCACTACGTCTCAGTTGCCAACCACTTAGAGTACGATTACCTGGAATAGTTTAGTTCCGCACTACACACGATTGTTTAAAAAGGACTTAGAAGAGCATATATACATATATACCTTCACGTAAGACAAATATTTAAAAAATAAGCTGTTTATGATGTCCAACCTACATGAAACAGTGGTGTAAATACACTCATACAGTTTGTTTAGGAAATAGAAAAAACGTTGAGTTCTGAATATTATAAGTAATTTCCTTTAGTGACCCTTTTAGAGCTTTAAAATCGGCTTAACTGATCTATGTGTGTGTGATTTATCAAAATAAAATCTTATCCATAATGGAGTTAACTGATCTGCCATATACGGTAAAGCCAGTATTTGAAAAGTACGATTTCTGTTATTTGAATGGATTACATAGCAAATACAACTTGGTGAAAAGGAACAGTTTGACTTTCTGCTACCTACAAAAATCAATGGAATCAGTAAAACTTTTCATAAAGCTTACCAGTACACCTGGCTGATGAGAGTGAAAGACCAGGAGACATAGTTTTCTGTCGATTATCGCTTCATAATATGTAGTATCAGTATACGGTTTACCAATAAATTCTGATTAACACGCTCAAAACTAGAAAGCCCCTTTCTTTACGATAGCCAACTACATGATATGTATTAAGTTTTTAAAAACGATTTTCCTCTCTTCTCTTGTAACTATCTTTTGACTTTGTTAATTTTTACGGTTTTAGTTAATTGTATTAACCTGTTTGTATTTTACATAATTCCTGTGAGTCATCCTATTATTCTTAGTCATCATTATTTTACCAATTTTTTGCTTGTGTAATAAATTGTTGCTAACGTCTAAGAATCAACTTATCTTGAACTCCGTAGTTAATATTCCACCCCTCCTTCAAAACTTAGCTCTCTTATTACTGACATCTATTAGTTAATTGTTTTGGTAACCTTTAACCTCTTTATTTCACCCTGACCTCTTATACCTAAAGCTGATTAACTAAAATAACCACTTGAATAGTAAAACATGTTGATGTAATAAACTATATATATATATATATATTAGTGTAGAGCCGATGATGAGGAAATAATTGAAAAAGAAAATATACTTCTTCGCTCAAGTTGTTGTTTTTACTCAATTCACAAAAAGCTTGAGATTCGTTTTTCATTAATTAATTTACTATTACAGAAATAAGATTTTTTTTTTATGAAGACTGCCAACAAGTTTCCTATGAAGAATTTTATTATTTGTATGTGTTTATGCGTGCTGCGGGGGCGGGGAGGGGTTAAAGCCACTATGCATATCATATATCAATCGTATGACTATTATCATCTGTTTTTGTATATCTCTTTATAGACTGTATTTGAACTGCTGAAAAATGTTGGATACACCACTCTTGTCGAACCATCATGTATGGAGGCTTCATTATACGAATGTCGGTTAGTGTCTAATTCGAATAAACCTACCTAAATACATTTTTCAAAAGCAAAATTCTTTACACGTATAAATATTTATGCTTTTTTTTAAACAATTGATTCTCATCTGTTGTTTTTTCTACTGTCTATTAAATAAAATATTAAAGAATTTGGTATATTATACCAAATAAGATGTTTCAATTTCTAAAACAATTCATTTTGACGTACACATGATTATCAAAAAATAATTTCAAATTCGGTTAAAAATATCAGAAATATGTGTGCACTAGAATTTTCAAGTCCAATGGTTTTGTAACTGATATCAATCCGCGGGCAATCTGGATAAAGAAATCTAATCTTTACAAACCAACTCTTGAAAAATTAACCTGATTTTCGCTAGGGGCTGGTTACAAGACATAGTTTCCTGGAGTTCTAGTAAAAGTCATGCCCAGTGGGCTCCATCTTGTTGGGAGTGAGGACATATGCTCGTCGCGCTGAAATCATGAACTGGTAGAAGCTAGAATTCATTGGCATGCCATTGAGTCGAGTCCTAGTGACTGAATGGTATACGAGCTTGCCTTGTAACAGGTAGGTCCTGAGTTCGAAACCCAGTGGATGCGTGCTGATGAAGAGTCCCAAACTAGGACGAAACATCTGTTTAGTACACCCTGGTTTTCAGTAGTTCTCTAACTGATATCAATCCATGGGCAAACTCTAAAAACAAGCTGATTTATATAGCTGGATCACTTGGTTGTCTAGTTAGCATATTCGATCTATTGATATCAACGAACTAGCATTTCTTTCTTAGTCAGTCATCTGTAGGTTAAAGGGGTCACTAAGTGACACATGTCCTAAAAACATTTCAATAATACTCTTAAAATATGTCAATATATCTTTTCTTATGGAGGTATTTTCACCTATATCTTATGACAATCAGTTTGTTAGAAATTTCTGTATTTATTCAACTCAGCTTTGCACAGCATTCATCCTAGATACACAAATATATATTGTCCTGTTGTGCAAGTAGAAGTATAAAATGAGTGCAAGCATGTCGTGCACATGCCATGAAAGTAACCTGATCATTCACTCAGATTAATATTCATAGTTTTATTATACGGGTGATTGTATGGCTAATGTATGGCTAACTAATAGCCTCTCTAGTAGAATAAAATAGGAGGTTAGATTAACTGAAATTATAACGAACTCATTCAAAAATTGTTAAACTATTTAACGATTACTTTTAATACTATTTAAAAATAGACTGTAGTGTACACCTATTGTTTTCTATAAATACTGACCTGTTTATTGAAATTTTTTTCATCTCCAACTCTCTGTATATTTCAACAATGGCTTTCATTTCTCGAAGTATAACCTCACTATCATCCATCTAATATATCTGTCCTCTGTCTATTATTTTATAACTAACTTAAATTCCGGCCTAATTTTACCTTGTATAAGCATCACTTTATCGATTACTTACAAAGAATAATAACTATTATGTTGTAGAATAAGTATGTAATGTAATGAATTCTCCTAGTATTATTGTTGTTATAACAAGATATTCCCTGAGTTAATAATCCACATAATCTGGATATCTCATGACATATTGAATATCACTCACTGTATTCCTTATAGTGTATATGATTGAATTCGGATTAGGTTTCTGCGCCAACACGTATCTCTGCATACAAAATAAATAATGGGGAAGCTTATTTGCCTTCGTCTAAATGATTTCGAAATTAAGCATAGTCCTAGGAAAAGGTTATTAGACATAGATATATCCATCAGATTATGGTAACAGCCAATATACACTTGATTAACTGCTCATTGTCGCTTTATGTAGAGGTTAGTTTTAACTCAACCAATGTAAAAATCTTTCTCTTCAGGTATCCTGTCAGTGAATCCACTTTTCTAAAAGTGTTGTGTTTGTAGAAACAGCATAACCTAGGGATTTATGGCTTGTTATCCCATTTGATGTAAATTACTTCGTGATACTCAGTTTCAGTGCTATTCATGGATTTTCAGTGACTGAGCTTTCTATGTATAGGTTGCTTACATTTGTTTTGTCATGCTGGTAAAAGTTCTAACCAGTGCATCACTACTGTTATATAAGGACATCCAACTTCAGTGTGTTAACTATTCTAAAATGTATTGGATGTCTACAAGTTTTGGTACACCTATACGAAAAAAACTTTCTATAATTCTTCAACAGGCAACAAAAAAGTATTCACACTATTTTTAAAAGGATTTTCATTTTGCAGTCTCTTTCTTTAGTTCAACCAGGCAAGTGATTGTAAACTCTATAATCGTAGATAATTATGCCTATCAGAAGAAGATAAATGGCAATACATGTGTCCGGTGTATTTTCGTTTTATTTTATTTGTCCTTATTGATTTATTGACATGCTTGGTATGAAAATGTGCTCAAAAGTCACACATATAACAAGAACAAATGTAAGAGAAAGTACAATATTGATAATCATGGTAAAAATATTTATTGTTAGTCATTTCTGCGTCGGTGGCATAGCGGTTGAGACGCTCGCCGACCATGCACATGATCCGAGGTTCGATCCCCGGCCACCGACGCACTCCTTTACCTCGCTAAACCAGACATAATGCTGGTAAAGAGGAAAGGTTGGGTGTGAGGCTAGCAACCCCATCCTGTAAAAAAATAAACACTGTTACAGAAACTTCAAGCCACTACTAGCTTGAAGCCCTATGTTCCACTGGGAAACGTGAAGGAAAACAGGTCATTTCTGCATCAGTTTACTTATTCTCAACTTTTTCAGAAAATTCTTACTTACCTCTGAATTATGCATTTGTCACTTTCATTTGGTGATTAGAATAGTGTTAGCAGTAGTAGATAATCATTAGTATTGATACATATATGTCAACCAAATAGGTTTACTAAAGATATCAAAATATCCCCAGTACTGGAGGAGCATTTCACTCTACAGCGTTGAGTTCAGTAATCCATCAAAATTGATTAAAAAGTCTGAAATGTCTTAAGGTGCAGTGGTTATATATAAGATGATGAAATGAGATGTTTTCAAAATGATCAATTCACCAAAGTAACTGAGAATATTCATACCTCAAAGTATGATTCGTTTAATACTATAAATGGTGTTCAAATTGGAAGTGTGAAAGTGATTTAATGCCTATTAGTAATTGGTATTAATAATCAGAAGTCAGTCACTAAAGTATTAGCTGCAAATATCGTTTTTGTGTAGCCAAAAATACATACTCCCTGTCTTTCTATCCAGTTTGTTCAAGCCGCTTTGTTGTTATCATGTTGAACGAGAATGTGTCTTTTTATTAGTGTATAACGTTTAGATTTCATTGTTATTACTTGTTGTTGCTAGTTATGTTATGTTATCAACTTATTGACAATGCGTGGGTGATTCTGGATAATAAAGGGCTATGATTAAAGTAAATGTATTTGTATTAGTTGATGGCGTATGATAATATCGCCCCCGCCATTGAGTCTAAAAAGGAAGAAGTGAGAGAAATGTCGGTTATCTCTTCTATTATTCGATATAAGTTTATTGTCTCTGACTAGTTTCATTCTGACGGCAAAAGTGTCACCATTTTGTTATTGTAATAATTTCCTATACATTTAGTTTGTCAACTAATGAGAATTTTGTGTCTCTTTTATTTGTTTAGCTATTCACAGAAAGAATCAGATTCCACCAATTGCAATAAAAACGGCTGTTACAGACAAATTACTGATACAGAAGTACTCAATAATCATTCTCATTGTGATTCTAATGTAAATGCATCCTCAGTGAAAAAATCTAGTATACTGACTGAAGAAGATCGTGAACTTCTAGCTAAACTTTGGCGCTATTTAGATCCTACTAATAATGTGTTTGGTAGTAATTCACCACCTCCTAAACCTCCACTTCCTAATTCATGTCCATTAAACATTGCATTCTTTGATCGGCGTACAGAATTGACCACCAGTTCAATAAATCCCTCCACTTCTCCACTGAGTCTCAATCCATTTGATGATCCAAATTTGGTAGCTTATCTTTATAAAATCTCTTGTACTGCTCAGCACAAATATCCCTCGGATTTCAATTCCATTAAAGGAAATCTAGTCTCATTGGAAAAATCTTCATCACCTACCTCTGGGTACGTTTCCACCCTTTCTTTGGTTAGAAATCAAATTCACTGTTTATTCTGAGAACCAGATTTCTTAAAAATATTACTAAAAATATGGCTTTGTTTGTTTCTTTTCTTAAATGACAGCAAGTTGAATTTAAATGCAACTGATCATCTGAATTTCCCGTTAGTCGATGAATCAGATCCCAGTGATATAGAATCAAGCATTAATCGTCGTAATAACTCAGTTGAAATCAACAGTTCCCCTAAAAAACAATCACCTCGTTCCAAGCTCAAGAAGATATCTTTTCTGCTAACGGAAGATTCTTCACCTTCTGCTGCTGATTCGAAACTCAAGTTGGATAATGGACAAGACAGAAAAGTTGATGTAGATAATAGAAAGTCAGTAAATTTCACAAAGTTGAATCAAACTGGCAGTGATAATAAGAGCTTATTTCAACCTAGTTCTATTCGGGTAAGCTCATTCATTCTCTTTTGTGTGAAGATGCTTTTCTTTAAGTCTTAATCTGTATGAGACTTAATAATTATTATTTGCTTTATTCCAAAACAGTATTAATGTTGCAGTGTGGAATTTTCAACATTTGGAACAGTATCATATCTAATTTTGTCGAATAATGTTTAAAAAATAATAAAGATAAAGTTACCGTATTGTTAATGACAGTTTCTATTAGGTATTAGTAGTGACAGTAAGATTGTAAACATACAAAAATTGTAAAATAATGATAATAATGTTTTTAGTTAAGATTATCAGTCAATTTTAACGAACAATATTAAAAACAATTTTGGGAATAGCACTATGTGATATTTATAGTGACAGTGAAGTCATATATTTACAAAAAATTGTAAATAATAATAATAATAAAGTTAGTAGCTAAGATTGTCAGTTAATTCAGGTGGTGTCACCATAGATTACAAATAGGAGATAATAAAAGTGCGAATTATTTAGCTAACAACATAGTAATTCATAAGTTTCACGCCTTACATTATCTCTCTCACATAAAACACGGGCAAAATATGATATCTTTGAGTTCCTATACTTGGTATTACGAGCATATAATCTTTTGTACTGACTTCTGGTTCTATCAGGTGAGAAACAGGGGAAGAAGTTGGGAATAGAGGGAGTGTCAAACTTAAGTTATAGAATCAGGCCACAAAATTGATTTTGACAATATTGAAATAATTCAGAAAAATTTCAGAAATCACAAAGAATGTCTAATATCAGCAGCACTTCATATCAAATGGAATCCCAATCGCCTGAATAGGAATGATGGACAAACAGAATTTGAACGGGTTACAACACCTCCATCCCCCATGAAATGACAAAATCAACACGAATAGGATTCATAAGCAATTTCATTATGTCAACACATGCTGCTTATATAATTTTATGCGTTTATCAAATCCGACAATCTACACTTGGTTTTCTTACCTTTGCTAACTGTCCAACTTGACAACGTAAAAATCACCCCATGTTGATGAACGATATATATATATATAAATTCTGGTGTAATAGTACTTTGGTAAAGCTATTAACATTAAGTAGCGAAACGTCAGTAAAAACAGTATAATTTTGTTTTTCATTCATTGGGAAATGCAAACACTTTTATAATAATGAATATCATATACCCGATGCCGCAATTTTTTCAAACTGTTAAAAGTGAACTTGGTTTGGACATACATAAAATTCGCAAAGGGTTGAAAACAAAAGACCACTGGAATGTTAATTTCATACTCAATTATACAGTAGTACTAAGCTATGGTTTACGAGCTCGCCTAGTTACCAGAAGGTGGGTGTGTACTGTGAAGAGTCCCAAACTAGGCTGACAAAACAACTGTCCAGTACTCCCTGAAGGTTTTCCAATGGTTCTCTAACCGATGTCAGCTCATGACGAAATCCTGGAACCAGTCAATCAAATCCCTACAAACTTATATTTGAATACTAAGCTATGAATTCGACTGAAGTTGTGAGATCCTGACAAATATTATTTAATTTCGCCTAAGTGTAGCTCAAAACGGAAAGGTTGAAATTTTACCAGGCACCTTTATATTTGATTGCATGGAGGATTTCATCATGATCTGACATCAGTCAGAGAACCACAGGAAAACCTGGGAGTACTGGACAGCTGTTTCGTCCTAGTTTGGGATTCCTCATCAGTACGCACCTTTATATCTCATTGAAAGCTGTTTTTTCGAAAACAATTTAATGGACAAACCTACAGTCAGGCTGTAGAACGTTTCTTCATCATTCCCTTCCCAAAAAACACATTTATTATCTAGTTTATATTATTGTCACAACCATAGTCAACCATCTTAAAAATTTTATACTCGTTCATGCAACCTGTCATATTGATGCAGGAATGTATTAATCAGTTGTCATTCTTACTCTTCCATGTTAATAGTGAAGTAATTCTTAATTCATTCTTGTGTGACGAACTGTAACATAATGCTCATAAAGTTCACTCAGTTAAATTTTGTTGACATAATACACATGTGTTATGCCCCCGGTAGTGAACAATTCATAGACTACCATTACAAGTTATGTCCATGATGCACAACCTAGAGACTAGTAAACTAATAATGTGGTATTGTGATAACGCCAGTTGGTTCCAACGTAATACTATTCTCACAGTAAGAATCATTGTTTATTTGATGGTGTTAACGTGTGAATACATCTGTCACAGTTAAATACTGCACTAGCAACAGAATACTATGTATCTATTTTAACATTCTATTTCATGTCGTTGAATGTAAACCAAAATCACACACGTAGTGGTTGGTTAGATAGTATAAAGTGTATAAATAGATATACATAGCTGTTTGATCACTTGAAAATATACCTTGGCTTGCGTGTCTTGCCTTCTACTGTTCCAATAAGAATGCACAAATTCACAAACAACTCTGTAACAAGTTGTTACTATCTGTCTGGAATTTTCGTTATAAAAAAGATCAATGCTCATCCTAGTGTTAATTGTATTAGCTTTTTATCTACGCTGTATTTCATTTTCATTTTTATCCATATTTCTTTCGTGTAAATTCTTATGAGTTGTTGCACTTTTACTGTATTTGTATAACATTATTTTTCTTTTGTAATGGGCTTATATGTCGCGTTTTTTTTGTACACTCATCATGGAGTTAAAAAGTATTTGTCTGGATAATTACCATAAAAGTGATGTAGTTTGCGCTTAGAAGAAATTTTGTTACCTGCCTATCCTCATAAAACTGCCCTCTAGAATATAAATTTAGATGGAAGTGAGAGTTGAGACTCTGTGAGTAAATGGCACTTGAAACTTCCATGTCACTTGGATAAATTCATTTTCGCACAAAAATTCCGTGCATCCAAGGGTTGTGGATACTAAAGGTGTATCACTAAGTTGGTCAATTAGTCTTTAAGATTATTTAGATTTACAATGAATACAGGTGCTTAAACACTTATTTCATTTGTCTTATCTCACGCCCTATGTCAGTTCCTTTCGTCAGTTGAAATAAGAGGAAAATTACCACAAACGATTATTGGAAATATGAGTATTGTTTGAGAGGCTGACAACCAGAAAAGCTCTTATCTTGTAATACAATACGCTCACCTAGGTACTAAATGTGCGAAATAAAGGCATAAAGTAATAAGAAAAATAAAATACATGTGACCTTCAGTTAGACTTTTTTCAATATCAAAAAATACAATAGGTAATTTTGATCAGATTAAATGAGAAAGAAGTCTGTGTTCTGCTGTTTCGACTCAACTTTAAAACTTTTGATCTTTTCAGTGAGATCCTGCATATATTCGAAGTCATTGGTTAAAGACTTGACCTCCAAATTATTTACAACTATCCTGTATTGTTGTAACTTGCGACAGCTGAGATTTGTGGAATTCTCTGCTACCTTTACACTTATATGAGAATAATTTGCTTTTACTTTTATATAAAACATATCCACAGCCTCTCGTTTACGAATTGTCATTTGATAAATGTGTACTTTCGTGCATTGGTGGTTCAGTAGTGAAACGCTAGCCAACTACCCATGTAGTTCCGAGTTCAACCCTCGATCAACACACTTCTAAGCCCTACCTAGTTGACTGCCTGATGGTAAGCCGGTAGTAGAGGAAAGGTTAATGGTTAGTATTTAAGCGGCTGGACAATTCATTCGCAGTTCCTCTATACTTATTCCGAAATATTAACTCACCAATCCCAACTAGTTTTTTTCTTAATGGGTTTTCGATGCTTCTATTGAAATAATTAAACGTTAAGTGAACTTTGAATGACCATGTTTGTAAAATACAATAAAACAATGACTAGTGTATAACTATTAGGTATTAGGAATTTTAAAACAACTTATTTTTGAAGTGATTCACTTGAAGGTGTTGCACTATTTATACCTGTTTTATTCCTTTAAGTTCCCAGTGGAACATAAGGCTTCAAGCTAAAAGCTTGAAGTTTTGGTAGCAATGGTGTTGATTTTTACGAGATTGGGTTGCTAGCCTCGCGTCTAACCTTCCCTCTTAACCAGTCTTATTATTGGCTTAGCGAGGTAAAGGAGTTCGTCGACCGGGAATCAAAGCCCGGACCACCTGCGTGGTTGGGGAGCATTCTACCCCTGTGCCATCGGCGCACACATTACACCTTAAGCTTGACTAATACGTTTTTCTTTAGTACTTTTTTTAAAAATAAAACAATGTTCACACTCACCATCACTTTGGGTGTTTTTTTTTGTGTTTTCAGAAAATTCCTTTTCACTCAAAAAAGTGTAAATATTGGTCTAAACATATGTCATCTACGGATTCTAATAGTAATAATAATAATAATCCTCTCAGTGATAGTTCAATGCAAGAACAAATAGCAAAAATGGCAATGCATTTACAAGACAACGATTCACATTCACAACAAGTGAGTATTGTTTGTTTTTTCTTTGCAGTTCCTTTGTGTTTTCCATTGTGTGCCTTTTGTTTTCTAATTCTTTTTATTCTTGTATATCGTGATAAAAAACACTTGAGTCAGTTTTTTTCCCTCAACACATATGTAGTCAACTAGCATATAATAAAGTGATCATTGAGATGAGATGTTTGCGGTAGTTGAAATCACCTTTCAACACTTCAAATAAGTGGGTTTCAAGTGATCAGTCTCATGCACTAGTTGTTGGGTGATCGACACTTACTGTTTCATTAGCAATAATTACATTCCCTAGACTTTTTATCTTGGTAGGATCAATTAGTTTAAATTACGTTAAGGTTTTATGTCCTGCTGATCTAACTGACCTTGGTCCACAACTTTGATCTGCATATCTGACTCCACACTCACTACATAGAATTAGGTAAACTAAAGTTTATTTGTTTATCGACTTAAATGCCAATTTTATCTCTGCCTTGTTAAGAATCCTGGTGAAAGTTTCACAGATTCCTTCTTTGTGAGTATGTATATATACCTACTATATTCAACACAGCGTCGGTGTATACCTGAAAATGTCAGTATAACAGCCAAAGAAAGCTTTTTCTGAAAAATCGCCACGATAGCCAGTCAGAGGAAGCAGAAATGCTTCTGTGCTACCTATTTTTGTAGGACAAAAAAATATGCAAAAATTGTTCGCTGAAAGAAAATAGACGTCTGGTTGTAGTTAAGTGTTTGCAGATGAACCATTGTGCGTCGGGGGTTCGGTGGTAGAATGTTTGCCAACCGTGTGTGTGATTTGGGGTTCAGTTACCGCTCGCTCCCCGTCCTCTGGTAGCGCAAGCCCTATAAAGAGGAAAGGTCGTAAAGAATAAACACCGGTGTTACTGAAACTTCAAATCTCAAGCTCGGAACGCATAGGAATAAAATAATAAAAATAAGATGTTAAATCACTGGAGTATAAAGTTGGTAAGAAAGACATTTGAGTATTTTATTCTGCCTTAGGTTATATTCTCACTAATCATTCTTGTAGCTACTAGTTATTCAACTAACAAATGCTACAGTACTGAATGGCCTAATTGAATGTACTTTGTTTTGTGTGTTTATCTTATAAGTCGGGAAGCTTGTCTCCTCCAATTTGAAAATGTTGTCTTCTTCTTAGGTCTTTTTTATGTAATTCAAAAATCTCTTTAGGGTATTTCTAATAAGTAAGCCTTCTAAATACCAATTTAAACCAACCTAATCAGATCTGTAAAACTGTATAAACGATTAATTAAATTAAAACATCATTAATCGTCAATATGACGCTTACTTCGTCTTAACATGTGTCACCATTATTTTAATGAATTAAATAATAATAATGTCGACTTAACGTTTCCTGAAGCCCAGCTTGTGTTCACTTTCTCAACTAAACCAGTACTCACACAACGAATCAAGGAAAAATTATCAACAGTTAACTCATCAGTGTGTATTTATGAATTCAACTGGTCATGTGGAGCTTGTCACATTGGCCGTACTCAGAGGGCTTTATCCATGCGGGCATGTGAAAATGTACTTGTATGGTTGAGTAAAGAGGTAACCAAATGCGTAAGTAGTACAGTCTTAGCCCACTTGGTAGATACTGGACACTCAATAGAAGCACAGCAGGCATTCTCAGTTATCTACTGAGTTCCTGGCAATCTATCTAGAGGAGCTCGACTACATCTTCTATCAGTAGCTGAAGCCGTAGCAATTAATACCACAAGACCCAGTCTTTGTATGCAGAAGAAATATGTCCAAGCACTATGGTTTATTGTAACGACCACAAATATTATATTTTATAATTGTAAGAACCTGAAGAGAAATTATTGAAAAGAATATTCATCGTTCAGATTGACTTTTAATTCACTATGGTTTACCTTGGTCTAGAATAAGGTCAACAAATCCTCCATAAATATTGACATTTTAAATACATATCGCTATTTTTTTCTTCTTTTCTCTTTATTTCATTGACAAACGTTCATTTCTGACCTTTTACGAGTTCATGACCTTTTTTATTATTTCTGTTACCTTAGGTTTAAGTGACGCTTTTCTAATTTGTTATTTTAAAAATCCTGTCCATTTCACTTCACTGCATTCCTTATTATTATTATTATTATTATTATTATTATTATTATTATTATTTGATAATCGTTCAGCAATAGTAATTTTATGTTTACACCACATCTTCGTTATTATTTCACAATCATTATTATTGTCGTTATTTTCACTCTTGAACTTACGTCTAGTCTATCCCATTTGTTGATTTATTTTTCTGTAGTATTCATATTTCGTTTCATTTTATCGCATGTTTTCATTAACCATGCATATTCAAAACTAACTGACTATTGTTCCATCCGGTATTATCCTTGTTCCACAGTAATTTGTCTGATATGTTTCTGATTCGCCTTTACTGGCTATTGTATGCTTAAATTAATTGATTTAGAACTGTAGAGCCTGAAGAAGAATTTATTGTAAACAATTGTTCGCTCTAACTATTTTTGTCTTGAATAAGTTATGGGAATATTCAAAATAATCAAAATAATACTTTTGAAATAATTTTATTAAACTACAAAAATGTGTGTGTGTGGGTGTGCTAAAGTTGGTCCTTCATTAGTGCATTAACGGAACCTGTTAACTTGTACAGTATTCGCATAACTTGTTACATTCAAAATTGTTACAGGATGTCCTCAACAAACAAAATAATACACTGGTGAATGAGATACTTGGCTTTTAGCTGTCTTTTCCACTGTTGTTAACTTGACTTTTCTTCAATTTTAATTTTAGCTGAGCTCTACTCAACCCCGTCGATTAGATTACGTCATTCACCTTGCTTATTTAATCTTACATTAGTTTCTTTGCGACTAACTCTTCCTACATTATTTAATTTCCAATCTAAAATTTACAATTCTAATGACAAACATTTGGAAATATTCATTTTTTGCTAAGAAAATTTACTATATATATGCGATTGTACAGCTTGAAAATGATATTATCGAAAAGAGTAACTCTTCGTTGAACGCCTTTTCTTTTCTTTCCATCTTTTTTTCAACTAGTGCTGCTCGTTTCTCAAAATATCTCAAGAATATCAAACAGCTCACCTCAAAATTAAAATTTGCCAACAAAAGTTGATAATTTATCCTTTTGTCGTTTTAAAACTAAACACGTACTAAGTAGTGCTAACTAACCACCGCTGGTATTAATTAACGTTACAATCAAATCTTTCATACGATGTAAAACTCCAAGAATGCCTATCTTGGTAGTTCACACATTTAGCCTACCGCTTTCACTGTATTCGAGGCTTAAAATGTTAGGCCTGAATCACCCACGGATGCGGTTCACGGTTCGATCCCCGGCTGAACCACTCCTTTGCCTCGCTAAGCAAGTAATAAGACTGGTTAGAAGGGAACGCCATCCTGTAAAAATAAAAACCACTGCCTCTGAAACTTCAAACCTCTAGCTTGGAGCCCTATGTTCCACTGGGAACGTAAAAGAACATAAAAAAACAATATTAAGCTGTAATTATGGTTATAGAGCTTGTCATATTTTGGCACTGTATGCAATTTGGCTGACAGTAGGGCATCTGTTGCTATAGCATTCAAACGCAAAGGAGATTATGAGTGAACTAGAATTTGTACATAATTATTTATTCTAATGTATATTTGAATAAGCCTAGTAGCATGCTTGATATAAGTAAACAAAATTATATCTACACATCAACTATTATATGGAAAATGTAAATAAGAATGTGATGTAATTAATGGTGAATTAATTAATTAATTTATTTATTCACTCAAATACTGACTTAACAAATATTTAGTCTTAAAACTAGGTAGCGGAGTTGTTAAGCTGTCAACACCAATACTTATGGATTTTTGTTGTTGTAGCTGTTGTTGTTTATGTCGATTGATTATTGTGATTGTATGTTTAGATAAGTTATATGCTGGTCAGTTATAATTATTTACTTTGAGTGTGTAAGAGAGAGAGAGAAAAAGAGAAAGGAAAATGTTTTGTTTTGTTGTACCAATCACAATGAAAGTTGTTGCTTACCGCATGGAGTAAGTGACATATCTGTATGTATGTAATAAGGATTGTCCAGTACTGTTTATTCACTATTGCCTGGTGAGCTTTTCACTTGTTTTACTGCTAGCCCCCAAAATGTGCTGTATTGTATGATGTGGCTATTGTTGATTCTATCCACCAGAAATGTCAATTTTGTCTTATTTGGTTTAATTTTATTGTAAACATTCTTATAACACACGGGGTGGTACCACACTATATCCAACGTCATATGAAGTGGTGGTTCACTATCCGTTAAAAGTGGATTTGTCTTGTTGAAGTTCACCTTCAGTGACCTTGTTGTAAATTTCCTATCCATCAGAATGCTTCTTATTTATTCTATTTCACATTGTTTAATGGTTTAACTACCACGATGAGTCATAAATTCATACTCGTGCACTATTTCAAAAAAGTTTTTACCTACCGCTAGGAATATTTGAAAGGAGATAAAGGAAGAACATTGTGAAGTATTAGTACTGGAGCAATCTTCGAATTTGACAATATTGCTTTAGGTGATATATTATAGATTATTATATTATCTTAAGATTCTTCACAAGGAGTGAAACTCGTTGGAAATTCTGTATTGTGTATGAATATATTTTCAGAATAAAGTTATTCTTTATATTTTAAAATATCATCTTCACACCTGTAGTTAGACTAGGCATGGGAATCTGTTTCATTGGTTTGAGCTGGCATCAGTTAGAGAACCATTGGAAAACCTGGGAGTACTGGACAGCTGTTTCGTCCTAGTTTGGGATTCTTAATCAGTGTGGCCAAGGTTCGAACCCTGGATCTTCTGGTTATAAGGTAAGCTCATAGACCATTAAGCCACTGGGACCCGATCCATTGGCCCATGAATTCTAACTTCCGCCACTTCATAACACAGCGCAACCAATTCGCAATGTCTTCTTCAATGAGTTACCACC